CAGTATACGCTTGTATTGCTTCTATTTGCAGGTAATCCAGCAAGCAATGGCTATCTTAACAAGAGCAGTTCCGCTCTAGTTCTTCTAACCATTCCCGTAAACCATTCACTCACCTAGCCCTAGATGTTGCGTCCGTTCTTGAAATCGCTTCATCGGTATACTCCGCTGTTGGATCCTAAACTACATACGGCCTGATTCCTGTAAAATCAGGGATATGCAGGCAACTCAAAAGCCAAGGTGTGGCCTAAACTGCTTCAAACCGTTTCGCTCGGTCAAAATTGGCCATCATATCTTTATCCGACAACTCTTTCATCCTTCCCGGGTAAAGAGGTGCAGCTGTTGATGCTCAATTTTTCCCTATATATTTTCAATAGGAAAAATACCTTCAAAATAGCATATATATGCATATATAAGCATTTCCAAGATTTTTATTACCTTTTCCATAATTTTAAGGTTTTGCATTGATTTATTTTCTCCCTTTTTATCCATAAAATCCCCAATAATTATTTCTAAAATTATTATTTTTGATAATTCATCTATTGGATTTCTGTATTTATGCCAAAATATGGCTAAGGTAATTTTTATATATTTTTATAATTACATTTAGTATTTTTAAAGCTAAATTGCACATAATTGCAATATTAGCCCTTTTAATATTTAATTATGTTATGTATGCATAAAATTGGATTATATATTTTTAAATTGCTAATTATTTATTTTAAATAATTTTAGCATTTTTAAATTATTTTTAGAAATTATCTACTCTTTTCTATAAATTAAATGGGGAAAAACTGGCTATTTAACTTATAGCCAAATTGGCTTTCAATTCTAGCCTAAATCCAACGGACCCCAACCCAATTAACAAACCCACCGGACCCAATCCCAAACCTCGAAACCCACCTACCCATTTAATCTCGACTGTTGATCTCCCAGATCAACGGTCCCCATTATTTCCTTCCATAATTAATCACAAACGACCCCCCCCCCCCAAACCTTCTCATTCTCGCCACACTCCGCTTCCCTCGTTCCTTTTCCTCTCCAATCCTCTCTACGACCAAAACCTAACCCTAGCCTCCGCCACATAAAACCATCCCTAATCCCTCCGATCCTCACTCAATCCATGGATTCTCATGGTTGTTTGAGACATATACTTGTCTTATACGTCTCCTGGTTGCTCGTTTTTGTGATTTCATGGAAGGATATCGAAGAGATCTAGACCAAATATTGTTCAAAACTCTCCGAGAGACTACCCATGGTCTTTCATACCATTTTCCGGCCATCCATGACTGTTCAAGTGTGATCAATGACTTTTCTGGCTAAAATCGGTAACGTTCTAAGATTTTCTCATCTTATATGGGTTCTCTGAAACCCTAACTCTTGAGATTTTCCACGTTTCTTTAGATCTGTCTTAGATCTAGGTATATCCATGAGTTTTTAACCAATTTTTCTTCATCTCTACTATTTTTCTGAAAACCCTAGTTTCACTATTATTCGAATCTTCTCAAATCTTTATAGATCTGTAGTTACTCAGTATCATTGGGTGTTTTCCTTTAAAATCTCTTGGTTTGATTAATTATTTCGACTTCGTTTACTCTTTTTGAAATTAGGGTTCATATCAGACTTTTCTTCAAAGATTTTTCTAACTTTTCGATGTTTAAGCTAAGTATTCTTCACTATCTTGAATGATTCTCTTATATATGCGTGAATTCTGGATGTTTCTGTCTGTTGCACTGATTTTTTCTTTAACCTGTTCTCCGTTATTTGTTTATTTTTCTGTCAACCCAATGTATTAACTAATTCTATTTGGGGTTTGAACAATCTTCCCTATTAAAAAAATCAATATTCTTCGGGATCCTTGCGTGATTAATTTCTAGTAGGGTTTTGAGCAATCTTTCTTGTTAAAATCAGTATTCTCCAAGATTTGTTTTACTGATTCGAATGACTGTCCTGTTAAAATCAGTGTGTACTGGGATTTTACTTGTTTCCTTATTTGGGACCTTGATTGGTTATATTTGCCTTAATTAGTTATCAATAGTTTGGGGATCTTACTGACTCCCTATATGGTATGGTTTTGATCTATTACCTTAATTGAACCCTATTCTAATTGTTAATTGACTATTCCCCAATTAAAGGGGTCTTTCCTGGACTTCTCTATAGAAATTGATTCTGTGATTGGTTGCTTGATCCTTAATTGATTGAACTCTGATTCTCTTTACCTTATTTGTTCTACTCCTTAAATTCTATATATACACTCCCATTCTTCCTCTCAAGGACACGAACAATAGTGGAGAATACACATACACATACACACACACAGAAACTCTCTCTTCTTTCTCTGCTACTTGGGCTAGTGCTTGTCTAGCCGGCTGAAAGCCAAGGCCAGACTGTGGAACTCTACTTGCTTTACTTTTTTGCAATTTGCTTCCTAAACTGGTATGTTCCTAGTTCAATTCTGAAACTCAACTCTTTGTGCCCCCATTGTTTGTCAATCCCCGTCTCTTTCTGCACTTACTTAATCACTCATGTTGTTTAAATGCCCTTCTTGTTTATTGCTTTATTCAGCATGCTTAAGTTCTGCCCTCTCTTGTTCAAATGTAACTAGCATGTCTACTAGAGTTCATGTTTATGTCCCATAACTAGTATGTGTCCTATTGTACTTGATTAACACTAAGTCATGACTAATTATGTGTAATAGACCCCTGCACAGCTACTCTCATACCCTGTCCCTATGTCTTATTACTATTCTAATTTCAAGCATGATTCCCTTGTTAACTCTTTGAAGTAATTGTTTGTGTTCTGAAGACCAATCAGTCCCTACGTGTTCTCTGGACTTGCTGGTCTATATGCATCTTTTCTCAGCCATGTTTATGTGTTTCTGATTTGGGCCCTCTATGTCCCTAACCCCTACTTCCCTGATTGTAACTTCTAAAACTGTACTATTCTTTGAACTTGTTCTTTGTATGTGCTGGCTTGTTCCAAGTTTTTGGTTCTCCTATCCCCTTCTCCTTTCAAAACTGTTTTTCCCTAAGCAACTCTTTTGTTGTTGTTGCAAACTTATTTCAAACTAATCATTTTCAAAACTGTTTCCAACTCAACTCTTTTAAATCTATGTCAAGTACTCTCACTTATACTCTTATACCACTAGGTTCTGCTCCTTTTATGTGAGCCTTGCCTTGGGACCCCTGAGCTCCCTCTGAACTTGGACACATGAAAGTTGGCCTTCCCACACTGCACTTACTCTGTCTTCGCCATGAAATCTGGGTGTGAGCACTGTCCCGGATTTCTTGAGGTCCTTAGGGAACTCTGACACACCTAGATATGAGGAAAAGCTATGGAACAATCTTGGCACTTGAGGTGATTGATTACATAACTCAGAGAGGAAGTCCTAATCAGGCTTCCTATAGTGTAACTTCTTATTTTTCATTGCTACTTATGTAATTCATTTCATTGTTGGTCCGCAATAACTTGTTGCAAATAAGTATTGGGGTGGCTAGTGAAAATGGATGGGGTAAATATGCATGCTATAGTAGAAAAACATGTTATTAGGGTTATATTGCTAATTGTGCAATATAAGCCATGCTTAGGGTTCATACATGCATTAGAAATCATGCTCTTAGGGCCCATGTTTTCTTGCTTCAACATCTCATCCATCACTAATCCATGTTTATGTCTATCACTTAGAAATCCTGCTCCTAGGACAATAACAACATTGGCATAAAAGATGTTACTCTTTTACTTTCAGAAGTCATATTTGAATAATTCTGCAACTCTTGTGCGCATTTAGAAATCATGCCTTAGGGATTCCATTTTTTTTAACAATACTGTCATTTGCATGTGCATATTAGATATCATGTTCTAGGATCCTGTGTTGCACTTTGTTTAAGACGCCTATTTGATTACTGATTCATGAAAAGGTAATAAAAAAAATTTCGCACATTGTGATGTTTTCTGAATAAAATTGGTAATAATCTTTGCATTCGTATCAACTAGAACAACATGCTCTTAGGGTAAAATAATTTCCATACTATTTTAATAATTCTGAATAACTACTGCATATTATTTTATTCCTAGGCAAGCCTTAGGTAATCAACTTTAAAATAAAAAACAGAACTGTCTTTGTTTAATTGCCACCATGTTAAAATTAGTAGGCAAGCCTCATTCAGACTTCTTTTCTGAGTCATGCAATAAATCTGGTTCTTTTGTTATCACTTCGATACCTAGTTAGGATTTGAATTCAGACCTTAATTATATATGAGTCATGTTGTCTATGTGCATTACTTGTCGAGATGTATCTGAGCCTTCTATCTGTTTTTGTGCTTTCTCTCTTAAATGCAGTCTTATGTGTTCTTATTTGTTGCACAGTATTTTGCCTTTAAACATGAGGGTCTGCCTAGAACCTTCCCCCTTTTAGGATAGGAGTCCTAAATTTCTGTGGGATTGATAGGAAGGGATGAGTAACAGCATGCAATATGTAGACATGTGATTTTTGACCCTCCCCAAGATTTTACATATTTTAACATTTAAATATTTAGTTTAGGTCTAATATCGCTATTTTAACTAGGTTTAATCTTTTTTGCTTTATTTTATCACAAAAATAAAAACTACAAAAATAGTTTTCCTTTACTTAAGTTACTTGTTATTTTGTCAAGTTATTTTTGATTTATTCTACTTTTGATAAAATCTTAAATGAAAAAGAGAAGTAACGTGATTTATGATACTAAGATTTTCTTAACTTTGTTGCTATTTTACCCTTATATCAAAAGAAAAGAAAAAATATCTTTTTTTAGTCCTTACGATAGAATAGTTAATTTTTTTTTATTTTCTTATTTACTACTTTTGAATAACTAAAATTGAAGAAACAAAAGTGAAACAATTGAAAATTAAGTGGTCATCTCCTCTCAATTCTTGATCATATTAGATATACTGTACATGGCAATTTAATTTACACACTCCACTTTATTCTCACACACAAATACTTGGCAGCTTTTACCTATTGCAATGGGACCACACATTTTGGGGGGTTAAACCTTTCTTTTTCTCCAAGAATTTGAAAAAACAAACTTAGACATATATTAATTTCACCCACATTTGGGGAGGCAACAGACATCTACAGAGAACAGAAACGGCGAGATTAGCAGCAAAAAAACCCTTAGCCACCGCAGACCATCTCCTACTCCCTCACGTTCTCGCCATGGAAACCAGCCATTAAAATACCATGTAAACCTCCACTAAACAATCTCCAAAAACAAGCCAATACCTTCATTAACAACACATCCAAACACCTGTAAAATCTGGTCACCAACAAACTCACTTTTAAGTTTTCACCGCTATGGGTTTTCGAGTTTTCCGGTGAGGTTCGACCCATCAAGTTCGCTCGGCGAAGTAGTGGTCATTAGCTTTCCATTCAATCGAGTGTTTTGGGTTGAGGTGTTGTTTGGGATTCTCCGCTTCGACGGTCTGGTCCAACGTTGCGGATTCAAGTTTTTCATCTAAGGTCATCTATATTTTATTCTCTCATCTTTATAATTTTGGATGATTAATTGCTATGGTGATTATTTTCTGTTAGATTCCATGCTTTGACCTCAATTTTCTTTCCTCTTAATTAATGATTAGTTCTGTTTCGTTCTTGTTACCAGTCCCCTCAATGTTAAATCTAATTTTGAATATGGGTATATGAGATATTAACTTGGAATATTAATTGAAAGTGTTTGCAACATTATGAATTGGCTCTTAAAAGAAATGTGAAGAAAATTGGCATTTTTGCTGTTTTGGGTGTTGAATTGGGTTTAAGATAATTAGGCAGGAGATGTCATGTTTTATTGTTATTTCGTTATTATTAGATACTCGTTGAATGCTAGGAGCATGCTAGGCCGTTAACACTTGGGTAGGCAAACCTTAGTATTTTTGTTTGGTTTTTGAGGAGAGAGGTCGTTCCTTTAGTTAAAATTATCCGGGGAATGCCCCGGAGTATTTGTATATATTTTATTTCGGGCTATGCCCCGTAGTATTCTGTAAATGAAGGCCAGAGATTGGATGATACGAGGAAGCGTAGAATAGAACTTTAATATTTTTATTTTATTTTTTTGAATTCCCTTTTTTAGGGTAGGGACGACCTCGAGCCTTTTGTGTGTCTATTTCAGTTTGTGTTTTTCTACCTCAGTCTGAGTATTCTTTAAATCCAATTTGATCATGTACGCAACCGTGACTCTCACGGGACTTGGGGAGTACCTAACACCTTCTCCCCAATTCAAATGAACCCCCTTACCCGAATCTCTGGTGCAGACTTAGTTTTGGAGTCCAAAGTGTTTTAAAAGGAAAAATCATTTAAAAAAACGGTGACCTGGCACCCGGAAATTAAAGTCAGGTGGCGACTCTAAGTTATTTTCCTTTTGAATACAATTTTTTCACGTTCTAATTGGAAAACCCTTTTCACACTTTCAAAAATCTTTTTATTTTTTTAAGAGGGTAAAAAAAAGGGGTGTGACATCTCTGGCGACTCTGCTGGGGAATGGACTTGCGGGTTCGAGCTAGTACTTGATTTTATTGGATTTTAGAATATTTGGTTGAGGTTTTATGTTTTTTCATTAACTTTACTTAATTTTTATTATGTTTTTATATTTTGTTATTTGCTAATTGTTTATGTGTTTACAGTTTTTTCTTTATGTGTTTACTGCTTTATAACTGTCATCATATGCATTACCCGGTCAATTCTTTCTGCAATAAGTCTCGGAGTACGTGTCGCGTACATGAACTCTTCATTGAGTCACCGTTATTTTAGGAGGGGGGCCGTCAGACGTATGGAGTGGGTGGAAAGCTTGAGCAGCCACCATCGACCATATGCTCCCCCGAATTGCCTTGTTAGTGAACCCCAAACTTAGGTCAGCCTTTAGGTCATTTTTATTTGCATCATGTCATTTAGACCTATTAGGGATCGGTCCGAGGTACTGTGTCCCTTTGTAGGAAGCCTGTCCAAATTTTGTCAAAATGGGCTCGTGACCCAAAATGACATTTAATCATCCTATGTGCTAAATGTTGCATCTGTGAGGCTAAAAAGGTCATTTGGCAGACCGATATCTTGGAAAGAAGGGTGAAAAATGAAGAAAGTAGGGCCTACTTGCATCATTCTTTCATAGTTTTCCAAAAATAAAAGAAATTGATTGAAAATGAAAAATCCAAAAAGATTTTACACTTTTCCATTATTTTCCAAAAAATTCAAAAAAAGAGAAAAAGAAAATCCAAAAAGATTTTACATTTCTCATAATTTTCCAAAAATTCAAAAAAATGAAAAGAAAATCCAAAAGTTTTTACATTTTTCGTCATTTTTCGAAAAGACAAAAAATATAGTTTTTTTCAAATTAGGTGCATCTTCCCGAACTACGCGAACTTGATACTCGTCTTCTGGGGCGGGATACGTAGGCAACCCACATAGTGTCCGGTCTTCTTAGTAGGTCCTAGGTTCTTGGCTTCCGGAGTCGTAGCCAAATCTTGCATGTATAGCCATATTTGGCCACATCTGCCGTTTTTGCAAAAATAGGAGTATTGTTCTCAAAATAGTTTGTTATCTCCTGTCCTAATGCCCTGAGTCTACAATAAAGTGTCCTTTCAATTCTAAGGTTCATTCCTGTCAAATTTGCATGTCTAGTCACTTTTGGCCACATCGGCCATTCTTGCAAAATAGGGTTATTTTCGCAAAAGTGGTTCAATTACTCATGTCTTAGGATCTTGAGTTTCAACTCGGTGTCATATCACTTTAAGGTTCATCCATGTCATGTTTGCGCCCCTAGCCACATTTGGCCATATCGGCCATTTTTTCAAAAAAGGGTCAATTTCCGCAAAGTAATTTTTAAAGCCATGATTGTTGAGATGTTGGAGTCATGTAAGATTTAAATGGAGTATTTTTCATGTATTAGAGGTCAACTTTGTCAAGTTTGCACTAATAGTCACTTTCAGCCACTTAGGCCAATCTGCAAAATATAGCTTAATTGTGTTTTGCATTTGTCCACTAGGAAATGTTGTTGTGTCATGTAGTGTTCCGAGTCGCTAAGCATGTTCTCTACATTCAGGTATGGACCCGTTGATTCGATCCAAACTGCTGATGGTAGTAAAGATTCCCAAGAAATTTATCAAGTGGTGGAAAATGTTTTCATTGTTAGAGCAACATGAGTTAATGCAGAAATTGGGCACCATAACTTCTCTTCTTGATATCACACCTTGCCCAGACTTAGTGGAGGCGATGCTGACTTATTGGGATCCGCAAAATTTGATTTTCAGATTTGGAGAGTGTGAGATGACTCCTACCTTGGCGGAAATGTCTGGTCTCACTCGTTTAAGCTATATAGGCAAGGACATGATACTTCCCCGAGACCACTCTAGGACAAGATTACTCAGCGACCTGGGCCTGAAAGATAATAAGCATTTAAAATGTCTCGAGCAATCCTGGATATCCTTGGATTATTTATTTGCTAGGTTTGGACCACATGATAGTTTTGACGTCTTTTGGGATGCGTTCTGCACAACCAAGGTGAAGTGGGAAAGACATCGCCTCGAAGCTTTCAGCCTTGCTTTGTTAGGATTATTGGGTTTTCCATTAGATGAGAGGCACATTAGCACCCGTCTGCAGTCAGTGGTAATGGCAGTATTTCATTAGTAGCAATGCAAAATCGTTACCGTTGTACCGATGATCTTAGAAAAGTTGTACCGATCCCTGAGTGAGGTTAGGGGAGGTGTCAGATATTTTGAGGGAAGTAACCTTTTGCTACAACTGTGGATGATGGAGCATTTGCACACCGCTTCCTTACTTTGTCCCATCGACTGTGCCTTGAGGGATCGGGTGGTATGCATTGAGCGTAGGATGAAATCTCCTAAGTTTACATACCCAGTAGGCGTCACAGCTTGGATTGAGTTCCTTGGTTTGAGGACAAATGGGAATGTTTTTGGGCTTACCTTTAGCTACCTTTGGATGATATCTTGGTAGGGTGCCTCATGCAGCCTTTCCTGATGCTGATAGGACTCAAGTGTGTCAGGTTGTTTACTCCCGTTAGGGTAATGCGATAGTTGGGCAGAAGATAAAAGGATCCTCCAACTTTGAATCTTCGTAGGCACATCATGAATTTTCGCAAAAAGGCGCCTGACGAAATCAAGTATGTGCAATACTGGAACAATGCAAAGAATATGAAGAAAAATACATTAGTAGAGGACGTTGGGAGGCCTGAGTGTACTCAGGAGTACTTGATTTGGTTACAGTCCGTCCCGCCAGGGGTTAACACCCCATTTCCAGCACAACTTAGGGGTCGGGCAGTTCAGACGGATAATTTTGAGGAGGCATCGGACAAAGATCCCTGGGATAAGCTTGAGTTGATAAAGTCTCAGTTAGCGGGATTGGCAGCAAATGTGGAGCAGCATGGCTAGTATTTGTTTACGGTCAGCCTTCAGGATACGGGGGCACACGCCAGGGCCTTTATTCCCAGCATCGGTGTTTCTTTACGAGGCATGTTACAGAGTTTGAGCATGACGGACTGCCCAGGACCATCCCAGTCAGGACCGTCGCATTAAAGAGCAGCTTGATGAGTCATTCTATTTAGGTGTTTTGAGATTGTCTTATATTGTCTTTTACTTTCGCGTCTTGTCTAGGAGTACTGAGTCCTTTAGGTAGTGGCAGCGTTTGTCATAGTGTAGTCGAGTCTGTCATGTCTTTCATTATCATACTTCTCTTTGTATTTTAATATCAAAAAGTTTTGAACGAAAAATCCCAAAAAGCTTTTGTTTTTAGTTTATTTTCCATCACTTTTCAAGAACTACACTTGGTCTGATTCATAAGGGATATGATACGTAGGCAACCTACAACGGGTTCGATCAAATCATTTTTGGTTCAAAAAAGAGAGAGAGAGAGATAGAGAGAGAGGAGATAAAAGAGAAAAAAGGGATAAAAGGTGTTTGAAAAGAAAGAGAAGGAAGGATCGAAATGAGCAAATGGGGATGATGCCCTATGAACCTACGATCCTCAAAGCTATTTTAGAACCGTTAATTGTTGCTAGGTGCATTGCACGTAATGTGATATTATTATTTGATAAATGCCCTAATGCTAACGTGGTGGTTTTGTGTTGTTGTCCTCTGTTATCTTTATTTAATTTCAGGAAGGTGGTTAGTTTGTTGGTATCCTGGCAAGTCATCCATACAACACCCGATCAAAGCGTCAAACAGTCATGACTAACAAGAAATAGACACTGGAGTTGTAGACCCACCAAGGGAGATTGTTGAGTCGGAATCGGAATTGCAAGTGGAGGTCTGGAGGTTGAAGCACCAGATGGCAGAAATGTATCATGCCTGGATTTAGGGACACCATCCACCCTAGTTCCCTACCAACTACACAGAAAACCCTGTTTGCATTCCACCACTCTATCAATCCCAGATGCCCAATACCATTGATCTTTCCCCACAACACGTACCTGGTTTTACCCCTTACCACAACCACCCCGGCACTTCAGCCCAAACTGTTGATGCTCTGCCAGCCAAAACAACCTCATACCCTGCTCCGACATCTGCTCCTATTTTTGTACCCCCTCCACAAGCTACCCTCCACCGATCCTCTAGTGAGCCTGCATTCCCCGCTACAGATGCCCAATACTATGCATCGGAGCCCACCTTCAATGTCCCAGATCCTTACTCTTACACTCCCCAATTTGAGCCTCATGTTGAAACTAACAAAACACCCAAGAACGCAGAGCAAGAAGAGATGTTTAGGAAGGTATAGAGTCTGGAGCAATCATTGAGAAATATGTAAGGGTTGGGAAACCAGGTGAGTTTGGCCTATAAGGATTTGTGTTTGTTCCCCGATGTCCATCTGCCTGTCGGGTTCAAGATTCCCAAGTTTGCCTTGTATGACAGACATAGGGGCCCTGTAGCTCATCTGAGGGGTTATTGCAGTAAAATGAGGGGCGCTGGGGGAAAAGATGAATTTCTAATGGCATACTTCAGCCAAGGTCTGAATGGGGCAGCTTTAGAATGGTACACCCACCAGGACGCTAGTAGGTGGTACACATATGACGATATGGATCAGGCCTTCGCCCGACACTTTCAGTACAATATAGACATTGTTCCAGACTGCCTATCTTTGAAAAAGGTGGAAAATAAACCAGTGAAAGCTTTAGAGAATACGGGTTCCGATGGAGGGAGCAAGCTGCACGAGTCAATCCTCCGATGGAAGAAGACGAGATGGTTAAATACTTTATTCAAGCCCTGGAGCCCACTTACTATGGCAACTTAATCTCAGCCATTAGTAATTCTTTCAATGTTGTGGTAAAGATGGGAGAAATGGTGGAAGGGGGGCTCAAGTCGAGTAAGATCATGAGCTATTTTGCTATAAAAGCAACCACCTAGGCAATCCAGAGTGGTACCAAAAGTTTGTTAGTCAAGAAGAAGAAGGAAGATGTCGCTATGGTTGTTTCTGGATCATGGCATGGCTAGAGGGGTTCACCTAATCAGTACACCCATCCTCGACCTCGACCTCAAACCTATGCCCAAGCTCCATATAATCCACCTCAACATTACTTTTCCTCGCAAAACCCCCAATACTCAGTCAGACCATCCCAATACCTTGTTCACCATGCACAGGCATATGCTCAACCCCCTTCTTACCCACAGTGGCGTGCCCCAGTCTCACAGAATACCTACCCATCTCCACAAAATGCCTATCCACCTCCACAACCTTACCAAAACCCTAATGGTTCAAATTTTCGATCAAGGCTAGAGTATAGAAAAGAGAGGTAGTAGTGAAAACAAACTTTTACCAAAACCCTAATGTTTCAAAGGTTAAGGCAGTTGGACGTCTTGAGGCCGATTGAGTCAAAGATACCAAATCCTCCTCCAAAGAACCTCGATTATTCCCTGAGGTGTGCCTATTGTTCTGATGCTCCAAGGCATGACATAGAGAAGTGCTGGCATTTGAAAAGGGCAATCCAGAAGCTCACTGATACAAACCAAATTATAGTCCAAAGCCCAGATGCGCCAAACATCAACCAAAACCCTTTGCCAGCCCATGAAGAGACACATATGATTGAAATAGTTAATAAGGATGGGGAGCCCGAGAAGTCTTCTAAGTCCGTCATGATGATTCGAGCCAGTGAAAGTAATTTAGTTAAAGCTCCAGACTCTACCAAAGCAATGCCCTTGACAGTTGAAGGGGTGACAGAAAAGCCGAGTTTACTCAATTCGAAACCACCAGTGTTGGTCGTGAAAGGGTTGTCGAAAGATATCGGGGCACGTCCGGAAAGTTCAAAAATGGTAGTACCAGGGATTCCAAGTAGTCATAGTTGTGAAGGGGGATCCTATTAACCCAGTAACCCAGCTGCCAGTGGTGGACGCCAAGGCTGTTTCGTGGAAATATAAACAAGTGATAGTGACATACAAAGGAAAAGAAATAGAGGAAGAAGTTAATGAAACTAGAGGATTAAGTCATTTTGGGAGATGTTTCACCCCCGAAGAATTAAGGAAAGCTAGACCATTCAAGGATAGCCAAATGCCAATAATGAAATCAGTCACCGAGGAAGAGGCTGAGGAGTTCCTGAAAAAGATGAAAGTGCAGGATTATTCCATTGTGGAGCAGTCAAGGAAAACACCAGCTCAGATTTCTCTTTTGTCTTTGCTAATACATTCAGATGAACATCACAGGGTCTTGATGAATATTTTGAATGAGGCACATGTTCCTGATAAGATCACAGTGAACCACTTGGAAAAGATAGCTGGCAAGATCTTCGAAGCAAATAGGATCACTTTCTCGGACAATGAACTTCCTATGGAGGGTACAGAACACAATCGAGCTCTTTATCTCACGGTGAAGTGCAAAGATTCTATTGTCTCAAGAGTTTTGGTTGACAATGGCTCTAGTGCGAATATTTGTCCCCTGTCTACTCTGAAAAAATTGAATATTGGCACCGAAACAATCCAATTGAACAGTGTGTGTGTTCGAGGCTTTGATGGGGGAGGTAAAGATTTTGTTGGATATATAATGCTCGAATTGTCGATAGGGCCAGTTGAGTTTACCATGGAATTCCAAGTGTTAGATGTGGTTGTCTCCTACAATCTGTGTTGGGCAGGCCCTGGATACATGCTGCTAAGGCAGTCCCTTCATCTCTGCACCAAATGGTGAAGTTTGAATGGGACAGGTAGCAAATAGTAGTGCACGGTGATAAGGACTTGTCAACTTGCAATGACATAATTGTTCCATTTATTGAAGCTGAAGATGATAAGGGACCTTAGGTCTATCAGACTTTTGAAATAGTGTCTGTCGAGAAAATTCCCGAAGAAAAATGCATTCCGGGTCCTAAGCTACCCTCCGAGTCCGTTATGGTTGCGAATGAAATGTTGAAGAATGGTTTTGTGTCGGGCAAGGCTCTGGGCTCATATATACAGGGTATTGTGCACCCGGTGCGCCCCAATGGGAATCCTGGTATGTTTGGTTTGGGATTCACGCCCACAGAGAAGGACGTGAAAAGGGTTAAAAATCTGAAACAGAAGGTATGGTCGCTCCCCAAGCCTGTCCCACACATCTCTAAGTCTTTTGTCAAGCCAAGGGTCGAAAAAGCTCCAACCTCCTCAATCCCAAAACCTATGGTCGATGTTGATGAAGGGCTGATCAAGAGGTTCCAAAGTCTGTTCGATGAGGTTAATATGGTAGAATTTGGTGACGGCTCTAGTAAAGCAGATGTGCAGCTCGTTGGCCCAAATGTGAAGCTTAGCAATTGGGAAGCTACTCCTCTCCCCACCAGGAAGGAGTTTTGGTAGTTTGCTTTGTTTTCCTTTCTGTTACTTGGGTTATTTCAGGGTTGTAATCCAGATTTTTAGTTTTTGCTTGTTTTGATGTTCAAACCCTTCTATCCTTTTATTTTCAATGAAATAAAATTTCCTGTTTTCCGTTATTCCTAATAGTGTTTTATTTTGTTCATTTTTTCTTTTGTACAGTTCTTTTTATGCTGGTTATAGTGACATGACATGCATGAAGAATTTTCAGCCGAGTCTTAAAAGTCAATCTAATTCTGAAATAACAACCCAAGAAGTAGAATATGATGATGAAATAGAATATGATAAAGAAGCAGCATTTGAGGAAATCAGTAAAGAGCTAAAACAATTTGAAGAAAAACCAAAGCCTAATTTGAGTGAAACCAAAACAATCAATTTAGGGGACAAAGATGATGTTAGGGAAACCAAGATGAGTGTACATTTGGAACCGCAAGTTAAGGAGGAGATAATCAAAACAATGTTTGAGTACAAAGATGTTTTTGCATGGTCATATGACGATATGCCGGGCCTGAGCACTGATCTAGTAGTTCATAAATTGCCAACTAATCTAGCATTCCCTCCTGTCAAGCAAATGTTGTGAAAGTTCAAGACTGGCATGAGTGTGAAGATCAAAGAATAAATCACAAAACAATTTACTACAAAGGTCATTCGGGTCACTCGATATCCCACTTGGTTAGCCAACGTTGTGCCAGTACCAAAGAAGGATGGTAAGATCAGGGTCTGTGTTGATTACCGTGATCTTAACAAAGCAAGCCTAAATGATGATTTTCCATTGCCGAACATTCCCATTATGATCGATAATTGTGCCAAGCATGAGATTGGGTCTTTTGTGGACTGTTACGCTGGATATCACCAGATCTTGATGGATGAGGAAGATGCAGAAAAGACAACATTCATCACTCTATGGGGAACATACTGTTATCGGGTAATGCCATTTGGTTTGAAGAATGCTGGGGCAACTTACATGAGGGCGA